ATGCCCCCGGGCCGAGCACAGGGAAGGGCAAGGCTGTGGTTTTGCGCTGGTTCAGAGCAGGTCAGAGCTCGGTGGGAAAGCTTGGCTGGCAGCTTGCAAGCCCCACGGGTTCACCCCACAGCAAGGGAGACGGAATTCACAGCTACACCTCAGCCTCTCCCCATTAGCAGCCAAAAACCATCAGCTCTGCCCCGTTCCACGCACAGAATACAGCTGGTACTGGAGGAGACCCAGCCAGCAAGTGCCACACAGCATTGGGAAGGCGCAACCCATAAAACCTGGAATAGGTCTATATCACAGAACCACAGAATGGTGGGGGTTGGAAGGGCCCTCTGTGGGCCATCTAGCCCAACCTCCCACCGAAGCAGGGTCACCTACAGCAGGCAGCAACAAGAGCGCACTGCAAGCCCCACCACGGCCCCACACCAAGCCTCCAGATCTCCCCCCGGCACCGGGAAGGGCTGGGAGCAGCCCCCGGCGCAGCCCTTACCGGCAGAGGTGATCCGTCCGGCACGCGTTGCGCAGATCCAGGCAGTTGGGCTTCTCCTTGTCCTCGTAGGAGCAGGAGGGGACGATGGTTTGCCGCCGGCGCTCGGCGCAAGCCTGGTCCTTGCAGGAGCAGAAGAGGAGACGGTAGGTGTACTCGCTGGGGACGCGGTCGAAGAACTGGCGCAGAGCCTTGTGGCATTTCCTCCGGCTGCAGTGCTCGGTGGCCGAGATCTCCTTGCTGCAGGTGGAGATGTAGCCGGAGCGCAGGCGCTTGCAGTTGTCGTTCAGGTTGCAGGCTTTGGCCGCGTCAAGGCAGTGGTTGCTTTTGGAGTTGGTGGCGGGGTCCATTCCTGCCCGGAGAGCAAGAGGGAGAAGGGGTGAGCATGGCACCAAGGGAGGGGGAGATCACAGAATCACAGAATATTTGGGGTTGGCAGGGACCTCTGTGGGTCACCCAGCCCAACCCCCTGCCCAAGCAGGGTCACCCAGAGCAGGGGGCACAGCACCGCGGCCAGGCGGGCCTGGAATATCTCCAGAGAAGGAGACTCCCCAGCCTCCCTGGGCAGCCTGGGCCAGGGC